AAAAAAAAAAAAAAAAGCCAGACCAACCCTTGCCTGCAATGCTTCTCCAACAACAGTCGTCGTCATCGACACCTTCCTGATCTGACCTCCCACTCATTGTATCTTAAATCACCCAACTTATTTCAAAATTTATTTTATAAAATCAACAGTAGAGTTCAATCGACGTCGTCTTAGCCTCACCGTCCTCAACCCACCCTCGTCATGTCCCTCCATCTTCCCCCTACCACTGCCCCCACATCCTCTGACGTTGGTTCAATGCCTTGTCGAGGTGGCATGGAGGGGAATTTCGAATAAGATTTTTTAATTTTTTTCCTTTCCATTTTTCTATCTGAATCAATCAACTTGAAACCATCTCCAACTAGAAAATCTATTTGCATAGCATTTACCGTGAATCCACTAGTTTTACAGTTTCAACTGTGTCAGCAACTCCAACTTATTCCATATATAATTCCCCTTTAAAAGAATATTTCTAGCATATTATTTTCTAATTTTATCAGTTTATTAAATAGTCCTTACAACTTACATTTTAATGCATTACAATTACATAAAATTTACCTATTTATGTATGGTAGTGAAATAGATTTCTCCTGGGCTCCTTCAACTCGAACAGTCTCCGTACCTGCAAGAACCCAATGCTGGGAGGGGGTCCCAGTGTCAGGCCTCCGATGCCTAAATTAGCACTTGATCTAAAATGAGAATGTAGTAATGAATGAAGAGTGAATGAATTAATGAGATACCTTAGACCCCTTTTATAGGGAAGTGTACCTTAGGGCCCAAGTTGGGCTTGACCAATACCATCATGCCACATGTCTTAGCCCATGTGCAGGTCTATTCCCCAATATATCCCTTTATCTATTAAATTGGTATAGTATACATTTTATATCATCTAGTCCCCCCCCCCCTCTCCCCCTCTGGTCGAGTAAGCATAACTCGATCCAAGAGTGAAATGTCACTTCCGGCTGTTTCCATCAACCTGCCACTGAGGTTACAATTTTAATAAATCCTCGACCACCAAAAAGTCACCAAACCTTTAAATGAGCACCGGGACCCAAATGAATGCTGAATGACCACTGAGATCCAAAATTGAATGACTTGTCAATGAAGTCGAGAATCAAATGACCTGCCACTGAGGTCGAGCACCAAAAGTCGAACAACCACTGAGTACGAAAATCGAATGATCCACCGTTGAAGTAAAAAACTGAATTACCAATAAGGTCGAAAACCGAGTGACCGCCAATGAGGTCAAAAATTGAAAACCGAATTACCACTGAATAGCCATTAAAATAACTGTGAATAAGCATCGGGAGACCGCACTGAGGTAAAAAGTTGAAGAACCTACAAGCGAGATCGAAAACTGAAACACCGTAGAGGTCAAAAACTGAAAACCAGATGACCACTGAGGTAAAAAATCGAATGACCACCGACGAGGATCGAATACTGAAAACTGAATGACCACCAAGGTCGAAGACCGAACACCAAATGACCATTGAGGTCGAAAACCGAGTGACTGCCAATTATGTCAAAAATAAAAAACTGAATGACCACTAAGGTCGAAAACTGATGATCGCCGATGAGGTCAAAAACTGAAACCGAATGATCACTGAGTTCAAAAATTGAGTGACCGCAATGAGGTCGAAAACTGAAAACTGAATCTCCCCTGAGGTTGAAAATTGAAAACCGAGAGACCATTGAGTTCTAAAACATAGTGACCGCTGATGAGGTCGAAAACTGAAAACTAAATGACACTGATGAGGTCGAAAACCGATTTACCGTCGATGAGTTCGAAAACTGAGTGATCTGCCAATGAGGTCGAAAATCGAATGACCACTTCCCAGAGTCTGAATTTAAAAATTTAAGCTTATGTCTCGTTGTTTTTCGATCACCATGTTCGAGCTCTCTTTGCTCAAATGTGAACCTTTTTGACCACCTCGTCCTGTCGCCCTCAATTCAAAGTTCAAAATTCAACCATGATGTATATCCTCTCGAAAACCAAATGTCATGATGCCGCCCTTATGTCCAAAAACTGAATTCGCCAAAACCACACCAAACCAAATAAAAATATAGACCTGAATAGCCTGACTCTGTTAACTGCCTCAAGTGAATTCCTCTGACCTACCACTGAGGTCGAAAAATAAATTGAACAAAACCAAAAACAAATAAAGATCATCGACCTGCCACCGAGGTCCTCGAATAATCTCTGTGAATAGCGTCAAATGAACACCATCGATCTGCCACTGTGGTCGAAAAATAAATTTGACATAACCAAAATAAAATAAAGATCATCGACCTACCACCGAGTTCTGCTCGCACTACAAGAAAATAGAGTTCTAGTGAAGAACTTTTTTTTGTCACTATATCTACAATTGTTGTCACTATATCTATAGTTGTTGTCACTATATCCACAACAATTGTAGATATAGTGACAGTAGATATAGTGACAACATAGTGACAAAAAAATTCTTCACTAGAACTCTATTTTCTTGTACCGTCGAGCTACCCATAATGAACTCCATCAACCTGCCACTGAGGTCAAAAGCACAAATACAACAAAACCAAACAAAATAAAACCATCAATTTGCCTGAGCCATCCGTAATGAAATCCATCGACCTGCCACTGAGGTAAAAAACACAAATACAATAAAACCAAACCAAATAAAACTATCGACTTGCCACTGCTCGAGCTATCCGTAATGAACTTCATCGACATGCCACTGAGGTAAGAAAAACACAAATACAACAAAACCAAACCAAATAAAACCATCAAACTGTCACTGCTCGAGCTATCCGTAATGAAATTCATCGACCTGCCACTGAGGTAAAAAAACACAAATACAACAAAACCAAATCAAATAAAACCATCAACCTGCCCGAGTTATCCGTAATGAACTTCATTGACTTGTCACTGTGGTAAAAAAAACACAAATACAACAAACCAAACCAAATAAAACCATCGACTTGTCACTGATCGAACTATCCATAATGAACTTCATCGACCTTCCGCGAAGGTCAAAAATATAAATACAACAAAACAAAGCCAAAAAAAACCATCGACCTGCCCGAGCTATCGTAATGAACTCTATCGACCTGTCACTGTGCGAGTTGTCTGTAATAAACTCTATCGACCTGCCACTGAAGTCAGAAACATAAATACAACAAAACCAGACCAAGTAATAATCATCAACCAGCCTCTGAGGTCTCAAATAAGCTCCGTATCTTTACCGACCAAACACTAGGATTGACCACCAAGCCCGAAGGCCTTAGACATG